AGCAAACCCCACGTTTTAATACGGTGTTAATCAAATTATTAAGAGCTAATCCGAATCAGATCAAGATGATAATTGAAAAGCATCTCCCTAACAAACCATGTGGTGGCTTTCTGGGTTAACTAGGCCACAAAATATTTGAACGAATCCATAACGTGAAAATCTTACAAGTTATATGTCTTCTTATGTCCTTAAATTATATTTTTCTCAATTATTTCCGGCAAATATATGTGTCAAGTGAGTTTGTTCATGCACGCTGTTTGTGTACTAATGTTTAATGTTTTGTTGTCTACCAAATAAATGATAGTGCATGGCATGGCCATGAGATGGCTTGTGAAAATTAGTGGACCTTGGTTCTTAACGCGTAACCATTTGACACGTTATTAATTTGGACTGGTTATGTTTATGTTTTATGGTTTAGAGTATATACTCTAATTTAGAGTAAATATATTTACGGTGAAAACAATATGCAACGTTTCCACATTAGAGCCTCTAAGTTAGAGAAATACAAACTAATACTTAGAATTAGAGGCATACCATATGTTCTTTTTGTTTTCTTTTCTAGCTAACCGTTTTGCTGATTTGTGAATAACTCACTATTCAATAAGAAAATATATAGACTATAAGTGAATGTAAAGAATATTTTTATTTATTTGTTTTTCTATTTTCTTTCAAGTAGTTAACTCATACATATGATCGGACAAAAACGCAAATAAACAGAAATTCCGAAGAAAAAGAATGGGAGTGGTCTTATTAGTTAATGTGCTAGGGCATTAAGCAGTGAGACTCGAGTGGTAATTAGACCCCTAAACACTTTCTCGCTCCCACATTCGATTTCACGAGTCGAGTTCTCAAATTCGATCATCTTCTTCGTTAGAATCTTTACTTCTTCGTTTTTCTTCTTGCTTAACCCAATCAAGCTCTTCTCCTCAACTTGCTTCAGCTCCACGATTCCTTCATCGACTTTGTCTTTTTTCTCTGACCTCTTAAGAAACCCGATAAACGGCGTCGTCTTGGTGGGACGGAGTGAGTGGTAGACGCCGTTAAAGAGTGCGACGGAAACCAAGACAGTGGCTTCGATGACGTCACCAATAACTGACGCCAGCTCTGCGTCACCGTACGATCCGTTTACGATGTCCACGTGGCAATGCTGGTATTTCGTTCTCGGCTCGCGGATAGATGACGTAAGCTTGGCGATATCTCGCGCGAGGGATCGGCGAGATTTTAGGTAGACGGCGATTTTTTCGTCGTCTTTTTTACGGAGAGCCACCTGAGCGGCGGACTGGTGCTCGCGGAGGCAGAGAATCGATGTACGGAAGATCCCGTAGGCGTCGACGAATCGGAGAAGGTCTTCAAGAAGATTCTCGAAGAAAACCGGGCGGTTTCGGAGAGATTCCTGTGATTGTGGGAGCTGGAGTATATCAGCGAGCGTTTCCTGGACGTCGTTAAGGAGGCAGAGTCCGTCGGTGATCCAGCCGGTGGTGCGGCGGTTCGTTTCTCCGGCGAAAGATGACCAGGATTTGATTCGGGAGATCTCGTGGTTAATGTGGGAGATTAAGGGATGGGATCGGCAGGGGAGACTGATGGATCTGGTGTGGTGAGAGACACGTGGCTTTGACGGCGGAGATGAACGGACGGAAGGTTTGTTCGGGAAAGAAAGTGATCGCCGGAAAACTCCAACCATAACTCGGAGGAGAGAAAGAGAGAGAAACTGCGATGGTTTTGAAATGGTGAAATAGAGGGAGGAAGAAGCGTTTATTATATACGCACTCGCGCGAATTGTGTGGCTGTGGGGCCCATTACTGTGGGGTTTCGGGCAACGAAGTTTGAGATGATGTGCACGTGGGACTGGGAGAGTTTCGCTACTTTTTCAGAATAATTGCTTTCTTATTTCCCCAACTATATTTTTTTTTCTAGTTCGGTTAGAACCTATTTTATTTAATTTTTTTAAATTCTTAAGTATGTAGATCGATGACTTTCTAACATGATCCACAATATAGACGCTGAGTAAAATTAATGGTCATTAACCACCAGCCGAATCGATGCACATAATGTCATTGTTCACGCCTAAATATGTTTATGTCTTCTCCTAATATACACCATTATCCCCCTATAGCTTATTTTATTCTTCAACTGCACAAGATTAAACTTTACATGTTATTATGAGACACTTTCCAGTTTTTATGACGTTTTAACTACCTGAACGTTTATATCAACATCCCACCAACATTTAACTTTTTGTTAACCACTTAATTTATCTCAAGTAGAACCAAAATTGTGTTGTGTCAGTCAATACAAAGATTTCAAGTTGATTGTTAATTTGACATCCACTGTCCAGTGTTTATCGTGGTTTAAGAAGGTAAATAGTGAATTAATTAATCAGATTTAACGAGTTAAGAGACATAACATATGTTCCATTTCAAGCGGAGAGGGGACACACGTGGGTTGGCCACCCTAGCTAAACCCTCCAATCCAAATTTGCTCTCACTTTTTATCAAAAAAAAAAAAAAAATTGCTCTCACTTCCTGATAAAATTGAGTGATTCGCACTCGCTAATCGCCATGATATTATTTATAACATATTTTTTATATATTAAAATAGCCATACTTGAGCTGAGTATTCCATTTGAACACAAAAAAAGATAGAGTTGAGTATTCCTTAAACTAATTTGGTAGGGGTTTTAACGCGTTAAGACAGTTTTTTTCTCACATGGTTACGGAAAATCGTCAATATGAATTATTGAGTAATTTAATCAGATATATACTTTACATTCGCGAAGTTCGTTCAAATAATTTTTTTTTATCAATGAAACGTAATTATTATACATGGAGAAGTTTTATATAACCAATAAAATGAGTCCTTTCAAAACAGTACATTATAGAACAAAATATCAACAACCACACAAAACTACAAATTTTCTACGTCCAATAACATGAAAAACGTATTTATTTATCATACTAAAATCATAATCTTACAATGTACATATATGATAGTATATATATTAAGTTATGATCTTTAAAAACCAGTTACTTGTTTGTATAATAAAAAAAACTGTTAATCTATAAAGATGTGTTTAGTAATTAACAAAGCACGAGGGGTGAGCTGGGACGTGTCAGGGAAAGGGCAGCTCCAACTATGCATCGAAGGATCAAAATCACGGTTTTCTTGTTCACGACACTTCACTTTTGTCCTACCACGATCACGAAAAAGAGATAATATCATTTTTATAATCTAAACTATCCCTTAAGTCGAGATTCTACACAAACTTAGCATTAGATAATTAGGTTGTGCAAGCGTGTGGACTTTTAAAACGAGTGTTTCGGCGCAGATCCACAAACATATCAAGAGTGCCTTACTTAACGCTAAGAGAATTAGATTTTCTAAAGCATGTGACTTGATTTCTGAATTTAACTCTGCAACTGACTTGAAATAATACGTGAGGAGCCACACAGACTCTGTGATAGGATTATAGAGATATTTCTCGATTCAAGTGTTAGATCGATGGAATCCATGTATACATGACTTCTCCAATTGAATATGTTAGAAATCTTATGGTTATGAATGAATCATGATCGGTCATTTATTATATGGCGAAGATACTGTTGTACTATTAGTCTCAATATAATTGACGAAGATCGGCAGGTTATATTTGCTATAGAACATTAAGACCATATACTGTATATATCGTTTCTGTTATAAACCTTTTAGATGTAGTTTGATTTGTTTGTGTACTATTACTTTAGCCTTTTTTTTGCTTACAAGTATCGAAGTAATTAATATTTATTTTCGCATAGGGATCTATTTGAATGTTATAAAAAGGACCGCGATTTGTTTGATTCTACATTATACATACGTACAGCACGTATGTACGTACGAATATCATTTTGCTTTTCTCTATTTTACTAATTTTAGAAAAAAATACATTCTATGAACAATTATCAGTGTTATAGTATGTCTTTGATAACCATGCCAGAATGCTATATAGCCTAGTGATTTGTACTTTATTATATACCTTAATTCACATTGTTGACAAAAAAATACCTTTCATGGTTTCATCCAATTAGTTGAGATCTTCCTATCTTATTTTGCAGCACCATCAAGTAGCCGTCGAAACGAAAATAATCTTTGTTCGTTGAAACTTCAATCTGATGTTTACGAATTCGTTTACTTTTTGCATATTTTCGTTGTTTTGTTTACATAGACAAAATGTGTAGTTTGTTAATTATGTGAAATTATAAATCCCCTATCGTCCTCCTTTTCTATGAAAAATAGTTAATAGAAAACAAAACCTAATAGGTGCTCGTTGAAAATAATAGGTGACCGATATATACACATATATATTCGCATCTTTCCTCGCGTGATGTGCCGAGATTCCAATCCATCTGCCAAATGCAAGGTCACGTGAGCTGTGAGATAACTTAGTTATCTACATATATCTCGATGTATTACTTGGTTGGCCCGTCTTACACATATGAAAAAATTCCAGCAGTAAATGATAGTGTGTACATGTAACGATGCGTAAAAAAGATGTATAAAATCTGCACTACATGGAAGTTAAACATCGAATCCTGTAACTGGTTCAATTTCCGAATAGATTTGGTGGTTCTTCCATGTGGTGTATAGCTATATAAGTCTCTCGACTTTTGACTTTCGATTGCACTGAATACAGAAAAAAAGATGTTAGTTCAGCTCATATCTCAATGTGCCCTAGGTAAAATTCCAATTGTACTTATATAGTTTGATGTTACGCTTTTGAGGAATTCATTTGAACTTCGTGCGGAAAACACCATTTTTTTTTTTACCATTTATCTTATTAGAGAGAAAGAAGCTAAAATGCATCACATTTTAAAATCATGTGTAGCAAACTTTAAGAAACATAAGCCAAGCAAAAAAATCTCGCAACAAAAGAAGTCTACTAATAATAAAGCAGCTATCAAGACTGATAAAGACGTGAACTTGCAGAGATCGTCATGAAAAGTTTTTTTTTTTTTTTTTTTTTTGTCTCTTTTCATAAGGCTCAGTAATTGTCTCAAGTCGGAATATTAGTATATGATATATATTCTTCGAAACACATTTAATTTTCAAACATCAAAATGAAACCTGACATATTTTCTCCAACCTAACACAATGAGTAAAAACAACTAAAAACAAAAATTGGGTAAATTTCTTATCGAATTAAGTTGGACCTAAAAATTATCTGTTCGAACTGGGCCTTAAGCCCAACATACAGATCTGTTCGGAGGCGGGAGCTTCCCATTTATCGGTCATTCCTCTCATTACTTCAAAGTCTTCCACACATCTCGAATCCAAACTTCCGACTCGTTTCCTCGCACGTGCGAGTTTTTCGCCGGCGACGTCGTCAAATATCTTCTCCCAGCCTTCCTCCCATTCTCCATGTGCGTCGCACAGCTTCATCGTTCCGTTCTCCCACTCCGTCCAGCTCCACCCTTTGTTCAGCTTTCCCATTGCTTCCGCCACGCACGAGCCACTGCACGCGACCGTGCACGGACGGCACTTGACACCGTTCAACGGTCCGCGGCTCGAAACTGCAGCCACGGGAACTCCGTAGCTAGAGGGAGGAAAGTCGTAGGTCCGGTCTGACATGATGCAAAAAGGGAGAGGTTTGGTGACGTAAGGGACACGGTGAGTTGTAAGCTGAGCCTTGAAAGCGGACTCGGAGTTGAGACTAGTCAACCCGGCGGAGTCGAGATCGGGGATGATGGAGAGGCGAGAGAGAGCCACCGTGGAGGTGTTGAGATCGCCGACTCCGAAGCGGTCGTTGAGGCCACCGTAGCAGGACCCAGGTGGGACTAGGTACTGACCCGGTGTGAAGTATCCCGGGTCGATCGGGTCAGTCCAGTAACCGTCAACACGGGTCCGGATTACCCAGTCGTATGTGAAGTTATTCTCGCTTTGGTACGCCTTTATCATCGTGATGCAACCTTCTACGAGGTTGAAGTACTGTAATAATCCCTGTCGTTGACACCAATAAGAAAAAATTGCACATGAGAAAACTATTTATAAATTTCTAACTTGTGCATCACATATCTACCAGAATCACTTTTCGTAAAATTATGAAATCGAGTAAATGCGACGAAATAGTATAACGATGTATCACCACTGTTTAGAACCAAAATACGCTAAAAGCCCCGCATTTAACATAATTACGCCACGCATTAACATCATCACGCCACATTGCCACGCATGAACTTTCATAAACAATTATAACCACAAATTTAAAAATACAGATTACCTATTACCTTGTTTTCTACGAACCATAGTATATATGTACATTACAAAAGCTGTCATATAATAATCAAGATCTTCTTTATGAGGAAAAGTGGGTCCCCAAAAGGTAAGGAGTCAATTTCTATCTCGGACTAAATAGGACTAGAAATCTACAAACCAATATAATTGTCAATTACTAATACTTAATATCACCCACATCCTAGTGTTGTCGATTACACATTCGAAATGATATTTATAAAATATTTTCAAAAGAAATAAAAAAAAAAAAAAATTGAAAAGATAACAGTATACAGTAATAATGAGAGAACAAACAAATACAAAAACCAATCCAAATAAAAAAATCACACAAGAAACTCCTCGCATGTCATAAGTAACGTAGGAATCAAGAAACGGTTACACCAACCCTAAACCTCTCCAACTAAACGGACCCCCCCCCCCCCCCCCCCCCCCCCCCACTTTCTTATCCGTTCATTTTATTTTATTTTCCGAATTTTATTTTAATGTAATAGCCTCAAATAAAATGAAAAAATTAATCACAAATTTCGAATGGTAAGAGAGTTAATAGAGTTGTTAATTTACCTTAATGCCATTGGGCGAGTGCATGGGTGTGAGGACTCGAACCATCGGCTCAGTCTCGGTGATAGGCTTAGGCTCGAAGATACGAACCCACGCGAGCCTCGGTGCGTCCTTGAGCAGCCGAAGCTTGAAAGAATTGTTGTCGAGAGGGCTATTGAGAAACAAATCCGCGTTAGGATAAACCTTCAGGATCTTCTCAACGATCGACGGTCCCGTTAGCTCGAACCGTCTCGCTCCTCCGACCAAACACACCGCAATCTTCGAATTCACTAACTCATCCCTCTTTCTCCGCCGCGGATTCCCCTCCGGATTTACGTCTCTAGGGCTCGAATCGGATAATTCGGCTGCGAAATCTGAAGTTTCGGCGGTGGTGGCGGTTAGGGTATGATGAGAGTAGATTAGGTTACGGAGAGGGGCGAGAGTAGTGGGAAAAGGATCAAGAGTGATGGTAGAGAGGGAGAGTAAGAGGAGGAGGGAGAGAGAAGGGATTACGAGGACGAGGAGAAGACGGCGATCGCCGTCGGAGACTCTCCTTGCAACGTACATGGCGACGGATCTTCGCCGGCGGAGTTAGTTCTTCACACGAGATTTATATATTTGCCGAGAGAGAGATTTATATAATGAATATTTGTTTATTTTTTCAAAAGTTGGAACTGATTCGGAGAGGCGATGGTTTGTTAGGGTGGGAAGACTGGAAGGTGAACTCAACTTTCAGCGTGGGATTGGGTTTAGGATTCTTTTCCCCTTTTTCTCCTTTTATTTAATTTGTTTCTCTAAAAGTTTAAGAATATACTCATCTACTCTTTTATTAATCAGTTTTATTTTTTATACGTATTGATTACGTTACAAGGGAATGTTTTATTGATTTGAGTTATTACAATTGTCTTTCCAACGACAGTTAAACTATTTGACTAAGTTTCAAACAGTTAAACCATTTGACTAATAGTAGTTTCAAAGCTCATCGTCAATTCGTATAGTATTATGTAAACGTATTAACTCTTCACTAGGCGTTTTTAATGTGTTTATAGTGGTACTGTTGTAGTGGATATTGCCATATACTTTTTGAATAATTTATTCTTGGAAGATGTGGAGTAATTAATAATTAGGCTGTTTTCAGGCAGGCTTAGAAAGGGTTGTTTGGGTGGCAAGAAAAGTATTATTTTGTGATTTAACAAGAGGAAAAGAAAAGTATTTTTTTCTTTCTTTTGTAATCGAAGTTCATAGATACCATAGACTGTACCGTATCCGTATGTCTATTCTGATTCAGAATGAGATCATTGTATTACTTTAACAGTTATTTTAAAATTTCACATATATATATCACTATGTATATATAAATGCACTTATTAGGAAAAACTATGGATATAAACATCTTTGGATTTTATAAGATATGGTTCCATATTTGTTCTAGGTGCTTTAATAGATTTTTTTTTTCATGACCTTAGAAACTGATAAGATTTATTTCTTTAATTTCTATGAATTTATTTTACTATTTACTTCTTATAAAAATATATTTAATGTTTTTTCAGATATGTTTATGTATTGATTCATTCTAGTTAAATAAAATTCTATAAAAAATTTCAATCACTTCTTTTAGATAAAGATTAAAATATTACTTTTGTCAACATGTAAATGACAAATTTAAATTTCTTTTCTTTTCCTGTTTACACTTTCATGTAGTTAAATAATTTTGTATTCCATCTGGATAAGCCTTTTTAAGTAAACTGGGCTTCTAAATATGGGCTTGAGTGTCTTAATTGTGGCCCATTGCGATCATCTGCTCGAAACCAGAAAAATCCACAGAGCGGCAAATCGCTAGGAGGAGAGACTTTCCTCCTGAATCTGTACGTTGGCTCAGGCGTGAGGCCACAATGCAAGGAGGATCATCGGGTATTGGTTACGGTTTGAAGTATCAGGTAGTTCTCGATCGTCTTCGTGTTCAGATCCATTTTTTTTCTTCTTTTCCATTTACAGCTTCGTTAATGGTGGAATCTGTTGTTTCTCAGGCCAGATGTATTTCGGATGTGAAAGCAGATACGGATCACACCAGCTTCCTCACTGGAACCTTAAGCCTGAAAGAAGAAAACGAGGTGATGGATCCTTCGATTTGCTGCTTTTCCTTCTCTGGATCTGTTGGGTCTTCTTCTGATTCGGAAGATTCTAAATTGTTAAAAGTTATAGGTTCATCTGCTTCGTCTGTCATCGGGTGGATCTGAGCTAGTTTGCGAGGGCTTGTTTTCGCATCCAAATGAGATATGGGACCTTGCTTCTTGCCCTTTCGATCAACGCATTTTCTCTACTGTCTTCTCCACAGGTAATTCTCATTATCGAGCAGCTATTTGGAGTAAAAAAAAAAGGACTTTTTCGATTGAATTTATATATTTTTTTAGAAATCTCTTCTGAGGTTCATATAGATTCTTATCTGTTTTGGATTTTGCTAAGCTGGTCAAAACATTTTTGTTTGCACTTGAATGTTTGTTACCTTTTAAGGATCCTTTGTCAATTAAAGGAACCATGATCCACCTCGCCGATTATTATTAGTTGAAAATTCATGTTTTTGGTGGAATCACAGCTCGAAAATTGAAATGGGACTTACAATGTTGTTTCCATTTTAAGGTGACTCATTTGGAGCAGCAATATGGCAGATTCCTGAGCCATATGGTCAATCTAACTCTTCAACATTGGAGTGTGTTGCCTCCCTTGATGCACATGTTGGTAAGATTAATTGGTGAGTTCATGTTTTTACAATTCCAGTGTAAGTGTGTGGTGGTGGTCAAAAGGTCATAGAACTTATCCTCATTTTCATGAACTCTCTTTCCTTCTTGTGGAAACAGCGTTCTTTGGTGTCCCTCTGGAAAATCTGACAAGCTAATCAGCATGGACGAGCAAAAACTTGTCTTGTGGAGTTTAGACTGTTCCAAAAAAAGTGCTGAGGTGATTTTAGCTACGAGAGTGAAGAGAAGAAAGCCCTACAAATCTGTTTTCCCTCTGCTTAATAGCTTTTTTTTTTGCTAATTACAGGTTTTATCTAAGGAGTCAGCTGGTATGCGGCATTCTTTAACTGGTGGAGCGTGGAATCCACATAATGTGAATTCCGTTGCAGCGACTTGTGAATCATCTATCCAGTTTTGGGATTTACGGACTATGGAGTATGTCATCATTCGTTCCTCTCCTATGTCCCCATGAAAGTTAATATACTGTATTCTTGCATACCCAGCTAGCTTGTCATTGTTACTGTCTTGTTTCCAATCTTTATGTTGATGAGAGTGATATTTTTGCATATTTTGCAGGAAGGTTAATTCCATTGAACGCGTCCATGTGCGTAGTGTGGATTACAACACCAAGAGAGAACATATATTCGTAAGACTTCACTCTATATGTAAATATTTGTCAAGTAATGCATAAGAAACAAAATCACAGTACTCCACAGTGAGGCAACAAACTGTTATGTTCATTGCAATTCACATATAAATATATAATATGGGTAGGAAGGAGCAAGTAACTGTCTCATTATCATGTTTAAGTTTTTCTTCCTGGCTAGACAAATTTGTTTCTGGAGTGAAATATGCACTATTTTATAGAAATCTTATCAGATACACTATGTTTGTCTTTATGCATAGAACTGTCGATTGTGTAGGTCACTGCAGATGATGAATCTGGGATACATGTCTGGGATCTCCGGAAGGCCAAGGTTCCTGTCCTGGAACTCCCTGGTCATACACACTGGTAACTTTAGCTCTATGCTCATTTGTGAATATTTTTTTTTTCATTCCATGACTCTGATTCACATGAACACAAGCTAAATGCTTTTCAAGCTGGAATTTTTCTTACGTATGACTGTTCATTCTGACAAATCTTGCAGGACTTGGGTTGTCAGGTGTAACCCTGAGTATGAAGAGCTAATTCTGGTAATCATTCTCTCCTACCTTTTCCTTCTTAACACAAGTGGATGAATCTACATTGTAGCTGAAGTGTTGTGGGTTGGAAATTTTAAGTGTCTTTTCTGATTGAATTTTAACAAAACACAGAGCGTTGGAACAGACTCAGCTGTCAACTTGTGGTTTGCTTCGGCATCTAGTGAGAAGAAAACCTCAGAAAGGTTAATTCTCTTTACCATCGCAACCCAATGATTTGCATTTTTCCAACTATCTTTTGAACATTGATTCTAAGGCCTACGTTGTGCAGCTCGGTGGAAGTATCGCGTCAGCGTGTGAACCCGTTGCTAAATTCTTATACTGACTACGAAGACAGTGTGTATGGTAAAATGCTCATACAACAAACTCAGTTTAATTACCATAGTCTTCCACTAAACATTTCATGAGATTATCTAAGTAATTGCTGTCACAGGCCTCGCTTGGAGCTCGCGTGAGCCTTGGATCTTTGCATCATTGTCATATGACGGCAGGGTAAGTAATTTTGTTTGTAACAACAACCTGAAGAACTATAGAGAACTAATAAATAAACCATTAATAAAATCTCGAAGCATTTTGGATTAGTTCATCTTATAATCTTGGTGTTTGCTCATGTTTAGGTTGTGATCGAATCCGTTAAACCTTTCCTGCCGAGAAGATACGTTTTGATATAACCAAAAAGTTCAAATTATTCTTGTACAATTGTTGAAAACTGTTACTCATGTCTCTGTTCATCCCTTACTCATCTCAAAAATCAATGTCATAACACATTTTTCAATCTTAACTTTTTGTTCTCTATTTTCCAAACTCTTGGGACACTTTTTTTTAATAAGGAATTCCTCCGACACGTTGCGCTACTCTCTGTTTTTCTTGTAACGGAATTTTAGACGGTCCGTTAAGACTTAGAACGGCTTTTAGACGGTCCGTTAAAAGGTATCAGTAGATGTTTAACGGAGTTTAGACGGTCGTTGATTAGAGTAACGTCACGCACGAAGAAGAAGGAAAGCGAATAGATTTCACGGCACCTGAGAAATGGAGGGCATCGTCAACTTCAAAAATCCCGGTTTCTGACTTCTACCATAAGGAAAGCCTCCATATAGGATAGACGTTTCTGACTTTTCATTTAAGGCCGTTGAAACTTTCATATTAGTGGTCGATGAATCTCATATTGGGCCGTAAAAGGCTTTTAACTGATTGTCCAAGTAAACGTGTCTTTGTACGATGTTACTAGTTCCATGAACGAGCCGTTTAAACGGACGATTTGACTCCGTTTAGACTGATGATTAACTTTGTTTAGACGGACAATTTAACTCCGTTTAGAGGGATGATTAACTCCGTTTAGACGGACGATTTAACTCCGTTTAGACCGACGATGAATTTTGATCACATGTTTAAAACCCAACCCTCTGTTTACTTCCTAAAAAAATTTCTTTTCGAGTTTGCTGCGAAGTTTGGATTCACAGTGATTCTGAAAATGCAACAGAATAAAGAAAATATCCAAAAAGGGCCAAAACGATAGGGGTGATGAGTTTCCAAACACCAAAATTGGAATCAGAATTGAACCAAAACTGAATTTTTAAAATCCAGAATCGAAGCAAAATGAAGAACACTATCATCGCGGAAATGAAATCGAGATCTAAAACCAAATTCAAATCTCTGATTCCTGAAATCTCAAAAGCATACTCGAGAAGTGCAAATCGAATCAACTTTTGAACACGCAAAAAGTAAATATTGTAGCTGAAATCCCGTTTTGCTCTCTGTTTTTTTTAGCATTTTAGGCTTCGCTCAGTACCAGAACGAAAGCCTCCATATAGAATAGAGGGTTTCTGACTTTTAGGTGGTGGTATTGAATTTAAATTTGGATTGAATCGAAGTTTCCATTAAATATTAGTGTTATTCAATGATATTTTATCAATTCTTTTAAATATTTGTGTTATTAGATTAAGTGTTTTTTTACATTCTTTCAAAATCCTTTAAATATCATTGTTATTCAATATATTAATTTTTCAATTCTATTAAATATATGTATTATTCAATTTTGTAATAGCTTTGATTATATTATCATTTGGAAGGAATTTAATAGAATCTCACTTAAAAATTGTTCAGAACCAATTCTTACCATTTTTACTAGGATTTTGATAGAATTAGTTTAAATTCCAACAAAATACTTTAAATTACTTAAAAATCAATTATTTTTGAATTTTTGTATATTCTATCAAATTGAATCATCCAATACCACCCCTTTAAGTTCTTTTAATCAGTTTATGTTTTCTGGCTTTTAAATTCTTTTAATCGGATAAAAAAAAATCAATTTCCTATAAATATGGGTCGTATGGATACGAATACGGCCGTTAAAAACGCATCTTCTAATGATCGATGGATCTCATATTGGGCCGTAAAAGGCTTTTTAACTGATTGGTTCAAATAACCGTATCTTTGCACGACGTTACTTCCATGAACGAGCCGTTTAGACGGACGTTTTAACACCTCTAAACGGATGATTTAACTCCGTTAAAACGGACGCTAAAACTCCGTTAAAACGGACATTAAAACTCCGTTTACTTCGTTAATTATCATTTTAATTCCCTGTACGGGCTGTACTCCATTTTCCTTATTCCGACACACCGAGATTTCTTATCGAGTTTGCTGCGAAGATTTAACACACAATATTTCTGCAATGGAATGAAGAGTATACCAAACACGATATAATGAGTTACAAAACACCAAAATCGGAATCATCATTAAATCATAACTGAATTCTAAAATTCAGAGTCTACACAAAATGAAGAACAACACGAAGCTAAAACCAGATTCGAAACTTAAAACTCTTGAAATCGCAAAAAACATACTCGATTATTGCAAATCTAATCATTCACAAGTTTTGAAACACAAAAGGTAAAATTTGTAGCGGAAATCAAAATCCGTATTCAGACACAATTCGTTAGCTTAAGTCTCAATATAATTTTGATATTATGTTAAATCACGTATATGTAGTTGATAAGAGCTTTTAACAGTTAAACATACACACACATGATGATGGAAAAAAAACCCTCGTCAACATACCTTGGTACAAAGGCAATGGAGCTAGGAAGAGACTTGCTATAAATTGAGTTTATATAGAGAAAATATTCGGGTCAAGTAATCACCAGCAAGTTAAATTCTTGTTATAAATGCTACATATGCCTTCTTGTTTTCCCTTTTTCTAGCTAAAATATGACTCAAAACAAAAATGGCGATGACAGTTCTATGTACAGAGAGACATTCGATGCGAAATGCAAGGCTTTAACCCCCAAGGTTGGAATCACTCACTGTGAAGTGTCCAAGCAGAGGAGAGATTCAGTGTGTAAATGATATGAAGCTCACTGATATGAATCTAACTAGTCCGATAGCATTTCTTCAAGCTCAGGCTCATCAGAGGTTGATGGATCATCGTAATCTAAGCTCGTCCCATTGTACAATCCTCTGTCTTGTAGATCACTCTGTTCTTCCTCATAGTCTGGCTCCGACCAATCTGGCTCATCCTCTTCGGTTTGATCATCATTGGTTACTGTTACCGCCGCGTCTTTGCTTGTCGATTTGTTTTTCTTTCCAAGTTTTCTAGATTCTATCTGCGCCTTTGCCTTGGCCTCTGTATCTTCGCATATGCATGTGGATGGGTTCTCGTGAAACTCACCTCTACCGGCTCTTAGTTCCTTGGGCTCTCCCATAAACCCTCTCTGAAACGAACGGACTCTAGAGGCGAACTCCTCCCAAGTCGAGTTCTCTTTGTTCAGAAACAACCTGTAAAGCTTTTTCGCATTCGGCCTAACCGTGGGTTTATGTCCAAAGTATCTCCTGCAAGTTCATATCACCAAAAAAGCTTAAACCTTTGACAATTCCATCAAAGAGACGAGCTGTAAATGAAGAAGAAGAAGAAGATGTTTCTTGTTTCAGTACCTCCTCCCAGCCAATATTTTTGCCATATTGCCATTGTTGTTGGTTACAAATACGTCACTTTCATCACACACGAGGAAGTCGAGCGCAGCCATTCTCGAAGAGTATGAAGAAAAAGGTTCCAACTCTTTCTTTGTAGCTATCGTGTCTTTGGAATAGAAGTGTGGAAAGAGAGCCTTAAGAGGAGCCAAAGATTCTTCTCCTCCGTAAACTTCACCAGACGCGACGTAGATATGGACATCACTGCCATATCCCAACGCTCTAAGCACCAGTCCGACTTCCTCTGGAGTGAGCGGACATCTTCCTTGCCGCCTTTGTTTCTCTGGATTGTTAATCTGCAATAAATTTTGCAAATATTAGTCACTTATTAACATGTTAATATACATCGAATTGACATTAATAATAATAGTCATTACATGTAATGTTTTCCATCTCTTTCTAATTGCTGCAAGTTCTCTCCTTTCCTTATCTCCACCACCATAATAGCATCCAGAGAATGCAAGCATATCAGGCTCAAACCTGCAACAAAGTCATTTGCGTCAAGACACTCTCTACCACAGGATGCTTCAAGTACCAACTAAGCCAACCTATGAGTGGATGCTACAAGTTAATTCTCCCCAGTACAATGCCCTTGTTCAGTAACAAAGTGAAAAAGGAAAACGAAGAAATATCAGGAGTTAAAAGGTGAAACCTTAGATGTAAAGCGATGAAGTGTTTGCTCCTCAGTCGCATGCGCCGGACCAATTCATTACCCATGGTAAGTATAGGATCAGTGAACTTCAGAGCATGGTAATTTACTCTACATCTTAGCTTTTGCAAGTCATCGCTCAACTTGTTCGAAAGTCTATAGTCGAATTTGTTCAGTTGAACTGCCTGAAGCATCATAAGTCAGACAAAAGTGATATAAGAACCACTTCATTGCTTAGCTTAGACATATTTGTCCATGCGGAAAGTTTTAAAAACTGCAATAAGAAAAAAAGTTTGAGAGAAAGAAGGAAACTTACATGCCTTTTGTGAAGAACAGGTAAAACCCGGTTTATATAACATCTCTCGTTACATTTCCGTGGTACACGCATTCTACTCGGGCTCCACGTTCGCCCTCCTTTCGGTGGAAGCTGCTTTATGATTCTGACGTCTTCCGACAGAAATGACACGAACCAATCAACATCGAAAATATGCGAGAAGTCACTGCATAAAAACACACAGAGTTACTAAGAGACACAACACACTAGAGTTTCCGTCATCCTAAGTTTGGCTAAGCCTGACCCGAACCTGGCATCTTTCCAGTAAGACTTCTGGTCTAACTTGGGAACAACAAGTGTTGCATTCAGAATTCTTGCCGCAACAACTGCATCTACAATCTGTAGAAGAAAGCGCATTTGGAATTTATAGTTTCGAGGTAATGAGAAGCAAATGAGGGATCATTAGCTGATTTAAGAGGAAACAAAGTTCGTATTTTGATAAGGAACTCACTCCGGTTCGTTGTTGGTTCAAACCACCACTAGTGGCGATTGCCAAGTATCGATCGTTTCTCGTCACTGCTTTCGCATCTGCAAACAAGAAATCGGATTTAGAATAATGACTAATCAAAGTTTCCTACTTTCGCAAGATCACAAATGTTACTTCTGACCACAACAAAAGTGAATCCATTAATAAAGTGTTACGCACTCGAGAACTTGCTGCTCGCATTGCTGCATCCGTAAAAGAACTCAGCATTTCGTGAGTGCCAAATATCACGATCTGATCTGCCTCCAACTCTCTGTCGGTCAGAAAGAAAAGAAAACAAAAAACTCAAACCAATGACCCATTTGATGAAGACGCAATAGCGATCCAAGTCACAAAGTAAAATCAACGAAATTTTCACGAAGAACAAAAACCACTAACCGGAACTCGGAAACCGGCTGATTTGATCGCATCACTGGCTCCAATGTTAATCTGTTTCGGCAAAAGCGTATCAGGACGGATCAAAAGCTCGTACAAAATCTCTAGAAACGGATTTACCGAGAAATAGAGAGACAGAGAGAGAGAGGGAGAGAGTACGGATGTGTAGCGAACGCGTGATGGAAGCCGATCGGAATCGCCTGGAGGAGGAGCAAGGAAGGAGAGCAAAGCGAAGAGAATGAGGAGAGATAAGGAGACGCCGAAAACGAGAGGGAGGAGACGTCGGAGACGATTGTAGTAAGGGTAGCGCCGCCGATGGAAACTCATGGCGGCCGCCGCGCAACTACCTCGCCGCTCTGAGCCAGAGAGAGAGAGAGAGAGACAGAGAGATTGGGAATCAAAACATGATTGAGAATGTTACTATTTCAGAATCAAAAATCATGCTTTTCGATCACGAGCGACAACAACGAAATTCTCGATTCCAAGTTCCTCTTTTCTTCAAACAAACAAACAAAATAATCAGAGAGAGAAATTGAGTTTTGTTTTGGGGGCAGTGGAGCTTTTGGTACTTCGGTCTTTACATTTTCTAACACAACTTAGGAATAAATTTAATAACTTTTTTATGTTAAGTGATAGTATTTCTTTCAGATTATCTATGAACTCTACTAATTTGTATTCGTAATTTAGAATCAAAGAGGGAAGTGCGTATGTTAATATATATAACCAAAATAATCTGAATTTAAAATAAACAGTGGTCAATCATTTTATAATAATAAAACTGAGTAAGCTTTTTTAAAGAAGAATTATAGACTCTCAAAACACTAGTGCGTTTTTTTGTGTAGATTTACAAATTAATGTTATGCAAATATAAGTTTTTCAAGCTTCTTTTTTTGTGTGTGTGTGGGATATCATATTTGCATACATAACATTAGTTATCAAATCTCCTTGAAGAGATCATAATTATTATTCTGATAATGAAGAAATCATAATTATCTTTGGGTATATATATAAACCAATGGAGTATATAACACTCTAAGATCTTCACTGCACAAATAAGTGTCCCTAAAATATTTGTCCCCAGTAATCAATTGAAAGATCTTTTAAGGTTTCTTTGACATAACGAAGAATTTATATTTGTTTCTGTCAACAGAATTTAGTAGTTCTAGTATGTACAACTTCGGCCATTAAATGAATCATTTAAACAACCATTTTTGTTAAAGAGAAGGAAGAAAAAAACCTCATTTTCGTCTGCTTGTTTTGTACATTAGAACGGTTTGGGTTGGTATTCTAAACCAAAAGCAGTATAGAATGATTTTGTGATCATCTAAATCAAGGATTCGTGGTCATGTATCAATGGCAAAGGTTTTGTACCTTTGTACTCGATGATCAAATACAAAGAAACACAGGAGCAAGTTGTAGCATTATTACTTTTGCTTCTGTCGTTTTCATTTGTCCTTTATGTTTTCACAGTAATTATTCTTTCTTGTCTCAAAGCGAAAATCAAGTTTCGATATCATATGCATGCAACATTTATCTCGCCCTTTGTTTTACTTGTTCTACACACACTAAGCTAAGGTTTTAGAAAATGATAGTAGACACAACAAATCTTTTCTCTTTTTAGGGCTCAACTTTAACTTTCGTTAAAACGATTAAAAACAGAGCACCTAGAGAAATAGCTGGGGCACAAGATACTGATTAATTACATTTATAGTCAACACGGTTTCACATGCAAACGAGTAACAACAAAAGTATTCTTCAATTGTGTCAATTCACATTCAATAGTATAAAGATATTCTCTAAAGAAACGACAAAAGTATCAAATTGCCATTCACACTGAACTCTAGTTATAGATCTTAATTCTCAACTCTCAACTTTACAAGTACTACACGTTAAAAGAAAACAAGTTAAATTCGTAGTTAGAAAACACAATTAAATATCTGGCTTTCTCAAAAAGCAGTAAAAAGATGGTTGTACAGTTAAAAGCATGGTTATACTGTTCTTGTATAACTTGAACGGTAAAATTATATAAAAATAAAAAGAGAAGAAAAAACTCAAACGGCTTTGCTTCTAGGTGGTTCGTAAAGGCCTAATTGGTTGATTTGTGATCTCCGTAACAGTTTGTACATGAATACAACAAAACAAAAAACGAAGCAGCTTCCGTGAAATGGCAGAGAATTAAACAGCAAAGAGAAAGAGACAATGAAAACATTTTCACATTCTAACTATTGACCATACTTGTTGGAGAGTTCTCTGGCCCATGGGCTTTGCTCTTCCGACCATATTACCCGGGCCCCGAGCATCGAGCACCATCTAAGATTCAGAAGTGCTGCTGCGAGATGCTCCTGCGAGTTTCTGAACAGCTCGATTATCTTTGTTTCGGCTTCAGGGTCTTCGCTCATGACGAATTTTTCCTCGAGCTCTGTTTTCTTCTCCTGAAGACTCTCTTTCACTTCATCGTCGAGCATTCTTAGGCTTAGAACATTCAATGCTTCTATTGCTGTCGCGTGGTACCCTTTTTCCACATAACAAGAGAAAACATAATGGCATGTCGTTGGATCTGGATTCACCTTCTCTCTGTGCATTTGCTCCACTATGTACTCAACCACATCAATCAATCCCTGCAGAGAAAAAGATATGTTTATACTAAAAGCAGTTCATTATTCGATTTCACTACTTTCAGCGTTCTTACTACAAAATATGTTTACCTTCTCAAATGCTTTACGCAAAATGGTGTTGTATGATAAAACATCGACTTGTATCTCTTCCGATGCAGCTTGGTCCAGGAGATTAATTGCCTCCTCGAATTTATCACCATTCAACAAAATCTATAAGGAAACACAAAACTTTAGTTAGTAAAAGTCACTGTATCTGATCCAGAAACAAAGCACTAAGCAGCCAAATTCCACCCAAAAGTTGGAAGTTCCGAGTGTGAATAATTGTTCAAGAAAGTATGAATGTGTGTGACTCTTTTCATCTTGAGTTGAATACTTGTAGCAAGTTCTTGAAAAATGATGGCAGCAACTTTTAACACTGTAATATGTTAGTACCTTCATCAGAGAAGTAAACGTAACCGCCTTTGGATAAAACCCGCCACGGATCATCATAGAAACCAGAGCACAAGCTGATTCGTAAGAGTGAATAGCGCGGCAACAGTCAATCATTATGTTGTAGGTAGCAGCGTCTGCAGGGTAGCCACATGCTTTCATACGTTTGAATATTTTGATCACCTTGTTCGTCTGCAAGTCGATTAAGTAATAACGATCAACATTGTAGCGTTATATGTACGCTGGTGCAATGAAAACTCTAAAAGAGCCATCCTTACTTCATTTGCCTGAAGAAGTGAATGAAGCACTATATTGTATGTAAGCGTATCTAGATACATATTCTCAGCTCTTTGCAGGTGTCGGATCATCTCATTCACCATATCTTCAGCTCCGAGGGCTCTCAGCTGGAGAAAGTAAAAGGAAAGTGTCAACAATATGTTCATTGCTCTGAAAGATAATACACGCAATAACGACATCTGCTTCAAACAGATCAATAACTAACTATATAGAGTAGAAACTAACCACATTCCGCCTTGAGATAGGGCTGTGCTGAAAACCGTTTCTCACCATGTCCATTTCTATAGCGTTGATCCTTTTACAACAGTCTACTTGGGACAGCATGTTGCCCTCTTCATATGGTGCATTCACGTTACCAAATAATGAAAAGAGCAGTTCATACGTCCTCATATCCGGACGCAGTTTCAGCTGTTTCATTCTAGCCAAAACTCGGACGGCACGCTCTGGTTGATCCTACAAAACATTAGTAAGAAACTGAACCTCACAGTGACTTGCGTAAAATAGCAGAGAAACATTATGTACTAAATATATGGACACATACAACAACTCATAATAACAAGACCTGTAAAACATGACAACCACTTCGAGTACAGAAAATTTTTGGACGAATATATTGTTCCAATCGTCTTATATGATTAGAGTGGCAATATAGTCATACGCATGGTTTTTAAAAATTTATATGGCATCTAGGATCAACTCATATACTTGAGGCTTCGGAAACAAAACTTGTAATAGAATAAACAAGCACCGAAAGGTAAAAGAGCTATCTAGGGCAATTGGCTTTCAGATATGTAAAATCAAAATAACTAACCAATGAGTCACACGCAGCAAGAAGGTTATTATAAGGATATGCGTACGAGCATCCAGAAATTTGATCCAGCAGGTGTTCAGCTAAATCAACTTGAAAGGCTTTACTGCAATAGGCTGAAACCGTAGCAAGAGTTGAATCATATGGTTTCAGATTCTGCTGCAGCATTACTTTCAGCTGCATAGAGATATGAAGTATATAGAAAAATCATTATAAAAAAAAAGCTGAACTACATAAAAGAAAGGAATTCCGAAAGAGATGGATTGTACAGTACATAAATTCTTTACCAGTGTCATGCCATATTCGTATCCTTCTGGAAATGCAACAGCTCTAATGAAACCATCATATGTGTGGCTTGATGGTGACAATCCAAGATTTTGCATCTATTAGGAAGAAGGTCAGAAATGAGATTTTCACCAAAGACCACAAAGCAGGACCAGAACCAGCTAAGCTATTAAACAGAATTCAAAAGAACCAACAATATCAATGCTCATGAAAGCTTGAGAACTTCAATCAAGTTAATAGACAAAATATCAAAATTCCCATTCAAGATCTTTTAATGCTTCAACTGTCTTCTATGACTTTCCAAAGAGTTTTTTTTTTCTTTCTCAAAACACTACAGTGTCACATGCGGCGAGTAGCAAGTGGACAAGGACGAGGAATGAATAAATGGGAAAATGGTAGGAGATACCTGCAGCATTAGCTCCTCCGCTAGCTCAGAGTTTTTAGATTGTCCACAAGCATGAATCACATCATTGAACGACCACCTGAGGACTCTAGTTGCAGGGATTTTGTTGTGACATTTCGGCAAAGCCACTTTGGAACACTCAATTTCATTGCTCATGCACTCGACAGTGTTATTCCCATGAGCATCCACCATTAGCGAACCCGTGTGATCATTTACTCCAAAAGCAGCTTTCTCTGATCCCGTTTGACCACTTGATGGTATAGGAATATCCAGTCTCGTGGAATGCAGTTTTCCTCTATTTAGTTTAACAAAGAGCTCTCCTCTTGAAGCTAGAGCCACCATGTGTTGCAATAATTCATATGCTGATTTCAAATCCCCCAACCTCGTAAAGGACCATATGAATTTTCTGAGAGAGAGTATGTTCAGACTATAGTGGTCGACATAGTGTTTTAGTATTTCATTAACAGACGATAGATTGCGCTGAAAAACTGCAAGCTGGAAATAATATTAATCAGATAACAAAGAAAAGTAAGATCAACCATGAAGATCAATGCAAATGAAACAACTAGGAACAAAAAAAAAAGCAACCTTACGTTATAGAAACGCTAAATAACGAAGAAATGGTCTTTTCCACATATTCTACAAAAGGCACTGAAGCAAGATGAATCCTTAACTAACCTTGAGAAGTGCTGCATATGTTATTTCATTCTTCCCCACTCTCCTTTGATCCATCAATTCCAAACATTTACTAGCGTAATTCCCATTTCTCAACTTTACACAGGCTCCAAGAAAATAGTTATACACAGGCAAAACAGGAGAGATGCTATCATTTTCTCCGAGAGCGCGAATAAACTCCGACGCCTGAACAATTATAACCGGATAAATAAATAGATAAACATGAGTTACTATATATTTTGATTGGAATATATATATATGTACCTTATCCAAGTGTCCCCCATTACAAAGGGCTTGTACTATGAACAACAAAGATCTGCTGTCCAGGCTGATTTCCTTCTTACACATTACACTGTAAGTCTCCATGACAAACTACAGTAACACCAAAACTTCAGTGATAGAGAACTCCGAACTTGTGAAACATATTTGAGTTTAGTCATTCACCAAAAGACAAGCATAAGCACGGGTTTTTTTTTTCATATATCAAACTTACCACAGGATCAGGTGATCGCGCGCAATACTTTAGAATGCCATGGAAATCATCGGCACTAAGTGAATAGTTTCCATGTACTAGCTTTAAAAGCAGAGCAGACGCTCCAGGCCTTTCTCCAGAACGAAGCGCATCGACAATCTGCACCTGCAAGATCTTCCTGGTTGACGACTCATCTTGGCATCTAATGAAGTCATTGCCTGCATATGGAGGAAACATGCATTTTCAAGTCACAAAAGTCTCTTCTTTGAGAATCCAAGTAAGTGAGGAAAGATCATTAGATCAACAGAGAGAGAGAGAGGGACCATAAAAAGGAGGATAAGAAGAAGACGTACCCATAAATGTCGTCACATTACGAGAACAAGAACAACCAACCCCATTATCAGTTCCACTTCGTCCCCTTCCCTAAAGTTAAATTCACGTTTAATAAACAAATTACAATTTTTTTTTAAAAAAAACGAAGAAATCAATTGAAGAAACACAGAAACCTCAAACCAAAACAAGGAACTAACCCGAGATAAGGTTGGAGTTAACTTTGACGAAGACGAGCCCACGATAAACCGCAATGGAGAACGCCACCTGCATTGCACAGACAAGAACCAAACTCAATAGATATTTAGAGAAGTAATAATTAAGACAACACAAAAACCCAATTCGTCAAATTACTTACACAGCTCTGTACATTGCTTTCAGGCTTGGTTCAGACTTCCACCGAAATTAAGGTTTCTACGTCACTCAACAGAGCAAAAATTAAAGATTAGATCCCAACTACACTAGAAACGGGAGCTATTACGTTTATCTCAATCTCGTTACTTTGATTCCTCCGAGATCGACAGAAACATACGAAAAGGGAGAATACTTACTTCACAGAACTTAATATCTAGAAGCGAAAATCTCATCTTTTGACTTCGATTTATCGAAACTCATTTCAGTTTATGTTTTACTTATGTATGTCTCGATCTTGCTCTCTGGTTCTGGCAATCTGCAGTAGAGAGATACGAACATTTCAGGTTTACCAAAATCGCTTTGCAGTCTGATGGAGAAACAGTTAATGGGCCGTATCTTTCACAGTTGGCCCCGTTTAGTTAAATTGGCCTCTATTCGATTCTGAACGGGGGATTCCAATTTATACCCGGTTTAGTATGAGCTGAACCGGTTCAGTGCAATAGCACAAGGGGAAGCCAACAACCATATTTGTAACAAATCACAACTTTCTTCTCTATCTGTTAAACTTTATAATACATCATTACTGCTTAAACCAGAATATTTACTTTGGATCTAAAAGTTTTAGTTTAACAATGTGACTAAAGTTTGCAAAAACTTGTGAAAGATATTTCCAAGTTTCCACTCGCTCACAACATATATAGAACATAGTCTAATCATCATACATAATCCAAAAGTAACAAAACATCAAGATAATGTAATTGCTAGTCTTAATTAGACTCGTAGCCATTCTCTTCCACTGTTATTTTGTTTCTGTAAGAGTCAGTTATAAAATGCAATTTCATTATTTTTCAATAGAACATACATAGAACATAATTAAGATCTGTCGAGTATATTTGCTGTTTTTCATTTTTTTAAGTAGTTGCGTTGATAAATCATCATTTCACTATACTACTCCACAGCGTTCAGTGGCACATATAGCCCATATTCTTAGCCATCTTTTTCAGAACATTCTTCTGAGTCTTCCCAGTTGAAGTCTTAGGAAGATCTGAGAAAACTACTGTCTTTGGAACCATCTTAATGTTTTTGTTCACAAGATTCCTCTCACAGAACTCAATAATCTCTTCCTCTTTCGCTATAACTCCTTCCTTGAGCTTCACGAAAGCACACACCGACTCTCCTAAAGCTTCATCGGGTCGTCCAACCACCGCCGCCTCATAAACAGCCGGGTGACTATAGATAAGCCCTTCGATCTCCGTGGATCCCACAATTTCTCCGCCGCAAGTTATAACATCTTGTGACCTATCCTTCAAATGGATGTATCTTGCAGGTGGAATGAAACATTTAAAATCATTAGACAATACAATCAAAATTTAAAAAAATCATGCATATATAATTTATTTATGTTAGGAATCCCATATTTGAAATAAAAATGAGACTTGGAACATGAGTCATTTCACTGATCATTGCCAAATGATTTTAGGTAAGAAAACTCATGAAATTTGACAATTTACTTACCCATCAGGATCTATTACACCCATGTCGCGACTCCAGAACCACCCACCTCGAAAAGCCGCCTCTGTGGCTTCCTCGTCCTTGAAGTAACCGCTCATAACGGTGTTTCCCCGGAGAACAATCTCTCCAATCGTCTTTCCGTCGTGTGGAACCGAATTCATGGTGGTTGGGTCCACCACATCGACGGCCTCCATGGCGAAATGGTTGAGACCGTGTCTTGCCTTAAGCCTCGAACTCTCTTGCTCATCTAGAGTCTCCCATTCAGGCTTCCATAAACATGCCGTTCCTGCTCCATACACTTCTGTGCACCCGTAAGCTGCCATCACTTTGAACCCTAGTTTCTTGAGTCTCAAAATGATCTGTCCAAAAAGATTAGTTTCATATACTATCAGTTGTAGATTTAGGGAAAAATTTCTATTTTATTTATCCTAGATAATGTTTATAGACCCTTTGCACAACTGGTTTAACTTACTAAACTAACCCAAATGGTATTAGCAATATATACTTTTTTTTTTTTGCAGTGGAGCTAATATACAAAAAATTAAGCAAAACATTTATAAACCAAACTTGAACAATAAAAGACATATCTAAAACTCAATATGTAAGCAAATTAAAATATATCTGATTACAAATTAAACCCGAACCCGTTCTAAAATAAAACCTAAACGATACGAAACAGACCAATACTAGATTATGTTTTGTTTTGGTTACCGAAAAAAACCTAATACAAACTCAGATTGAACAAAATATTAGATAAAAGTTGTAATCTGAAATCTCCAGATTAGTTTTACCTCAGGAGGCGGTGAGGATCCTCCGGTCATAACCTGAACGGTCCATGGGAACGACTTCTTGACCAAGTCCCGTGCATTGGCTATCATGTTGAGAAGCGCAGGCGAGCCACCAAAGTGAGTTACCTTGTGCTTCACGACACTATCAAATATAACTCCATCGTTGACTTCCCTGATACAAACGTTGACTCCTCCAAAAGCGGCTACTGCCCAAACAGAGCACCACCCGCTGCAATGGTACATCGGAACGGTCCAGAGATAAACCGGCATTGGTTTCATCTCGTTGATAACACCAACCGCGGTTGCGTTTAGATATGCGCCACGATGGCTATAGACGACGCATTTAGGGGTACATGTGGTTCCGGATGTGAAATTGAGCGCGATTGGATCGCATTCGTCAACAGGTCGTACGGGTTCGAAATTAGGGTTCGCAGAGGAGAGAAAGTCCTCGTACTTTATGTGTTTTGATTCCTCTGTTGGCTTTTCTGTGATTGTGATGATGAGAGGTTGTTCCTCGCTCGTGATGTTTGTGAGAAGATTGATAGATTCTTCAGCGATGGAGAGGAATTCAGAGTCAACGAAGATGACTTTTGGCTTCGTTTTCTCGAGCGCTGTCGCAAGCATTTGAGAATCGAAGTGCATGTTCAAAACGCAAAGCACGGCTCCAGCCATCGGAGCTCCGAAATGCAACTCACATAACGCCGGGACATTTGGCGCCAAAGCAGCCACCTAAATTAATATTTTTTAAGAAGTTGGTTAGTAAATGTAACATTTTTATTAAATAAAAGTATGGTATATTAAAAGTCGTTTAACCACTAACCACGTCGTGGCGGGAGAGACCGAGGCTGGAGAGCGCAGACGCTAGACGGGTGCAACGGTCACGTGTCTGGTGCCACGTGTACTGAATATCACCATACAAGACGGAGGTTCTGCAGCCGAAGACTACGGCGGCTCTATCAAGGAAGCTGATCGGAGAAAGCGGGACGTAGTTCGCCGAGCACCGGATTGTTCCTTCCATGTTTGTTTATATATGCTTGTTTAGCTACTAAAACAATGTAGGAGTGGATTAGCTAGGCTAGATATTGGTGTTAGCCTGTATTTATAGGGAAACTTTTTTTTTTTTTTTCTTCTTGTAACGTTCCTAATCATCTACTTTTATGAAATAGCCAAATTCGCAATAAATCAGAATCTGTAATGAAGCTTGGTGCCATACAACAAGTGGATTTGGTTAATAAAAATCTGAACACCGTCAGAATCTCCGAAGCGTTATGAAAGTATATGATAAACTTAACGAAACAAAAAACTTAAAATGCAAAATCCAATTCAATGAAAAAGAAGATCCAATTCAATCTGTGAAGATAAAGAGTGACAGTGTAGAAAAGGAAAAGAGCACACATGCAATAATGGGCCTAAAATATTAGTGGGCCGATCCCAACTTTATATCTGAGCCCATAAAAGTAAGTAAATTGAGCTTTTAACAAAGCTAACAACGTAACAGATCCGAAGACGCTGCCCTTCTTCCTTTCCTAGGCCATATACTTTAGTTTGCAGAGAAAAGGAAGGGGAAGGTTCAATTAGGGTTTGTGAATCGGAAAATCGCGAAGCAGCCGGAAGATATGAGCCGGAGTTTGGGGATACCAGTGAAACTCCTTCACGAGTCGTCCGGTCATATTGTGACTGTGGAGTTGAAGAGCGGCGAGGTGTACAGAGGAGGCATGATCGAGTGTGAGGATAACTGGAACTGTCAGCTCGAGAACATCACCTATACGGCAAAGGTAATGTAGTTACTTGGTAGATTCTATTCAATTTCTTTTTCGTGAGCCCTAGGTTTTCGTTTCTGATGGCGATGCTGTGAAATTCCTAGATTTGGCGAGAATATTTCGGGGGGAGAGAATTGAGAATCCTGATGTAAAACCCCTAAAATAGTGATCCCAGTAGTGATTTCTCAAAAATTGTGAGTATCTTACTCTTCAGTTGCTCTTTAAGAACCCTGCATATGTGTTAGTAGTAGAGACGGAAGGTTATGCAGTTCTTGCTTATGTTTTCACAGTTCAACAGTTAAAAGTGTTTCTGTATTATGTAGCATCATGATGGCCAAAGATGGACTTTTTATTGTCATCTTTACAGTTCACCAAATGATATGGCTTGAGTAGGAACTTGTAAATCATATCTTTTGAATAGAACCTGATTCTTCTCTTTACGATTGTTACTGAAATTTTGTTTATGTTCTTCCCGATAACAGGATGGTAAAGTATCACAGCTTGAGCATGTCTTCATTCGAGGCAGCAAAGTCAGGTACTATATAAATTCCTTTTGACATCCGTTTCTTTTACTTTGTTGGATCACTCTTGTGAACCTTGATGGCTGAAAAATGAACTCTGGTGAACAGATTTATAGTGATACCGGACATGCTGAAGAATGCTCCAATGTTCAAGAAATTAGATGCTAGAGTCAAGGTAAGAGCCCTTGAAACCCACCATGTAATTGTATGCTTCATAAACGTGGAAGGTAACAACATCTTTTGTCTGCTTGATCAATGCAGGGAAAGAGCTCGTCACTAGGTCTAGGCAGAGGTAGAGGTGCTGCAATGCGAGGCAAAGTAAGTACACCGTCGCTTTTAAGTCCTTCTCTGTTTCTTATTTACAGCTTGAGAAGACAGTGTTTGGAAAATTCAAGGAAACTAATTGAGTTTTTGTGATGTCATAAACTTTCAGGGTACTGGGCGTGGAACAGGAGGAAGGGGAGGCGTGCCACCTGTGAGGAGATAGTAGCTTTCGACTCTGAGACAGTCTCTGCAGTATCCAGGAGAATATGCCTTCTTCAGCTCGTCATTTATGCAATTAGGTTACAGCGTAAGTAAAAAATCTCTAACAAGGAGACAGGCAAGGGAGGGAGAGAGAGAAAGAAGGACTAGTTCTGTGTTTTTGGGGTACTAAGATTGTCATGTTTTCTTCATATCGTCGTTTTGAGAATTCCCACATCTTGTTGTTGAACAGAGCACTATAAAATTTTCTATAATTGGTTTTAAGTACTTTTAGTCTTGGTCATTCAACGCATATATTCTCTGAAGAGTTTACAACTATATTGTGCCAATAAACACAATTTGTAACAAAATCACCAATACTACAAGGCTACATCCTCTTCTCCTCAACATTTGTTTTGCTTGTTTTTCCTATGTGCGAGAGAGATTTAGCATTGTATTGCACACAAAAATCATCTACAGAGATTTCAACTGACTGTTCTTCTACCATTATTGTTTTCTTAAGAAATCGAGCGAACGTTACCAAGTCAATTATAGAGTTGTGATTGTGAATTATAAAGATGCCGACTTGGAATTTGGGAAAATATGTTGAATCAAGAACCCTAAAAAAACTGCCGTTTTCTTGAGGGTAAAGTTAAAGAGCATTCTTAAGTACGAAACGCTTTCTATTATTCTCTTAGCAACGAGAATGAAAAGATTAGATGAACATCTACAAAGATTTCGAAAGTAAACAAGTGAAACCCACACAGAGATACGTACGTGTTCTCAGAATTTTCCCAGTCATATGCAACTTATGTTGCTCTCTCTCTCTCTCTCTCTCTCTCTCTCTCTCTCTCTCTCTCTCTCTCTCTCTCTTCGATTTCAAGTCATTGGAGATTCGTGTGACCTTAACCGTTGGGACCCAGCTGGTTCAACTCTTGCAGCATAACCAAATTTGGATGTGTTGTATTTCCTGTGAACACCGGTTAACTTCCCTGTCCCTGCCTTGTGATGCAAACCAACCATCTTTCTCGAACAATCCCTGTGAGATTGATCATCAAAACCAAAACAATCTCAGCACCTGTGATGGGAAATTCTAATTTTACTAGTTAAAAGCTCTCTTAATCTTGTGAGTACTTACATAAGCTTTTCTTCGGTGTAGCCTGTATAGAACTCGCAGGTTTTGCTCCAGTCCTCGAATCCTTTAAGCGTGGATTGAGCAGTGTAGATCGCTGAAGCAGCTAACTGAGAAGGAGTGTACTGAAGCATCTCGTACTCCACTAAGCAAAGCTCGATGATGAAGAATGATAGAAGCTCAAGCTGAAATATACAAAATTCACATTTCACACCTTATGATACTCGGCTGATTCTACTAAGTGAGTAAATCAAAGTTGTACAAACCTTTTTGTCAGACTGTGCAGCTTTGAGAAACCTCCTCATAAATACATATGGAGTTGGGAGACAGAAATTGAACTGCAAGGTATTCGCCATTAACTTCTCCTGCAAGAAAACAAGCCCATCACACAGTGATCATCTACAGCAAACAGAAGCATCCATAGTTTACGATCGTTAATATATCGAGTGAAGTATTTACCATATCAAGAACTTCTCTCCTGGTGTAAGCCTTGTCAGAGATCAGGATGAGATCATCTACAACTGGAACAGAGACTTCTTCGTATTTGCAAGCAAGCAACATAGCTGTTACACCCACAAGCTGGAGCTTTTTCCTTGCGACATGATGATGAACCGCAAGAAACCTGTCGATGAGATTGATTGTGAGGTAAAGCGTCTCCTCCATTAGCTCAAACTTGTAATGCACCTGCACAAATTTCACAAGCAAACAATGGTAACTATTCTCAAGACACCAAATCAACTTCAGAGCATTTTTTTTTAATGTTTTAATTCTGTATCAAACCTCGATCAACCAATCAATTAGGATTCCTCTCATCCTCTCGTTAATGTCAGGTTGATTCTCCATGTAATTAGGCGGGACGCAGCTACGACACTGCAAAAGTAATTGGATCGGTTTCGATCACTATCAAAGAACTTGAAACTAGCCATGATCACTGACACAGAAACAGAACAGTATAGTTACCTCATTTTTCTTGTAGAAGCAATATATATCATCGATGTAGTCGACTACATCTAGAGGATTCTTCTTGTCGCAGCTATCTATATCCATCACAGATTCTTCTTCTTCTTCTTCAGCATCGGAATCTTCCATTTCAATACCCTCCTGAACAAGAGAACACAATACGTTTCTCATCCGAGTTATAATCATGGCGTTTCCATCAGACAAATGAAAAGAAAGGCGTTTGACATGTTACTGTTACCATTCTGTCAATTTCCTCAAGCATGGCTTCAGTGTGCTGAACAAACATTGGCTCATTAAAGTCTCCATCTTCTTCCACATCTGTTATGATTCTGTCTATTGGTTCGCTCGAAACCAATTCTGGTTTCTTGATTTCCTAATCATAAAACCAATTGAGATTTAGACCAAACTTGTATGTCATATTTTCGAATACCAAATTCAATTGTAGTCAATAATATTAAAGGTACCTCCTGGATTTGAGGATTGCTTTCAGCTAATTGAGCAGCAAACTTCCTGAAACCAAATCAAGAATACAAAAACGTCATAAACTAAACAAACCCATCATACAGCTATGGCACTGAAAGCATAAAAGAAGTAAAGAGTCGATGATATTACTAACCTAGTAATTGGTCGATGCACAGGAACAGGTTGAATCTTCTTCTGACATATCCCATTTTTCCTGAAATCAGACAAAAAATGCTTCTTTAGGATCTCTGTATACGACGGTTTTTTTTTAAGGATGAAATTCATATTCATTGGAAGAAGAAGTTAATAAAAAAATACTCTGTCAAAGGTCCCTTATTGACAGCACAAGGATAAACCGGAGCTCCGATGATGTTCTTGTTCACATTACTGAGTGCTCTTCGTGTCTGCCCATTCGTCGGAATCACCTTTCCTCCACGTAAACCCCCTTTTGCAAAAAAGTTGGCAAAAAAAAAAATCATTTTTAGTAAAATCAACAACGAACCAAAACAAAAAGATGTGTGTTTTCGGAATTCGTGTTTTGGTACCTTGTAGATTCATCGGACCAATAACTCCGTGTCTGTTCTCATCTGATCCACCCATTTTCCCTATACCAATCTGGCAATCGCAGAAACATGTGTTTAATAATCCAAATTAAAAAATTTGGGTCTTGAAGAATCTAAAAAGACCCGAACAAGAACAAGACGTAATCTCATAATTCCCAGATAAAAAAAAATCTTACCTTTGGCTTTCAGCGATCCCTGCAAAATCGAATGGTCTCTAACTCTCAGAGGCAAAACCCATCAACAGCAAACAAAATTCGACGATCTCCCTCTCTCGTTTCTCTCCAACGATATTCAAGAGTCTCTCCTTTATCTTCTTTCTATATCACAACGGAACCAAAATTGAAAAGAAAAAGAAAGAAGAAAAAAAGGTGGACTGTATCAAGATTTGAAGACGCGAAGAGCGGATATATGTCCGCAACACAAAAATGTTGTTTTTTTAATTAACGGCTAGTTAATATTAGCCGTTGGATGCAGCCTCAACGAAACCCTGATGAAAAAGCTCGCCTTCTTTTGGAATCCGGAACCTAACGGCTATATTTTTACACCATGTGCGTATTTCAAATTATTTCCATTACCATTATTTTCTTCCTTATTATTATTACTGCTCCCACGCCCAACGATCCAATGGTCCATGTCTTTCTTCATTCTCACCGACAACCAACCGACTCGTAATTAATTGCTTATGATTATTTAAAGCTCATGGACCTTTTTTTTTTGGCCTGAAGCTTATCGATCTTTAACCATACATTAAAATACACTCGTTTTATTTATTTTAAATTAATACTGATTTGTCTTGACCAATATATAAATATATAGCAACTAAAAAACACATTGCTTAATTGTTTACATTTGGGAAAATTGCTTATTTAATTCCCAATGTATTTGCAATTGGCATTTTTATTCTCCAAGTATACATTGTGCAGATTAATTCCTCATGTTTAAGTTGACTAAGCAAAATTAGGATTAAAAAAGTCAGCAGTTAAAAACATAACGGGAATCGTTAAGATTAATAAAAAGGGAAAACGTGATTCCATTCTAAATACTGCAATTCCCAATTCTGTACCCTAAAGTGATTTCCAACGTGAGTAAGCGATTTCCGACAAGAGCTTCGATTTCCGGCGTGAGCTATCAATAGCCGACGAGAGTGATCGATATCCAACGAGATGGTGAGAACTTTTTACGGAAGCAGGGGAAGACGCAAGAAATCTGATATTCGAAGACAGCAACCGAATCTGATTGAACCTGAAATCCCAACAATCACAGAAAGGTAACAGTCGTGAAACTTATGATTTTGATATTGATTCGAATTAATGTAGAGAAATTATGGATATTAAAACATGTTGAACTGGTTGTAGGGAACAAGATGAAGATGGTAACGTGTGTGAAGAAGAAACAGCAAGCATTGGTGAAGTAATAAGATCCGATGGAGAAGAAACTATGAATGTAGCTTCAGCTAGTGTCGTTGAGGAACAAATAGGTAATATAGGCAAAGGAGTAGCCAATTCTGATAGTGAACAAAGCAAGAATGACAATGAATTTGAAGGAGATGATTGTGAAGTTATAGTTGAAGATATGGCTGGGTATAAAGAGTCCGAGCCAGCTTTGCAATCGAATAATGATGAGGCGAATAATGATGGGTTTGTGGAAGTAGAAGTAGGAGTTTATGAGGATGATGATTTACTGTCTTATTTCAATAAAGCTGCCCGTGATGATGATGCAAATGCAACAAGTTACAGTTCTGATGAGAGTGGCGATGATATATGGAACGATGATCTCATTCCAGATCCATTATCGGATGATGATTGTGGGGAACGTGAAGAACATGAAAGGCGATTCCGTTGTGATCCTGATGAGCTGCTAGCGTTAGGAAAGACATTCAATAATGCCGAAGAGTTCAAGTATGCAGTTCTCAGGTATTCTCTAAAGATGCAGTATGATATTAAATTCTATAAATCATCAGTTGATAGGCTTGGTGCACGGTGCACACAACATATATAAGAAAAATGTCCATGGAGAGTGTACTGCTCTTTTGAGAGAGGCAGAAACAAGTTGATGATAAAAGTCTACATTGATAATCATATTTGTGCAAGATCAGGATATACAAAGGTTTTGAAAAGTGGAACAATCGCACAGCTGTACGAGGAAAGGCTTCGAGTTAATCCTAAAATCAAGTCACAAGAGATGGTTGATGAGATAAAGAGAGAGTATAATATGATTGTGAGCTCTGAGCAGTGTAGGAGGGCGAAGGCAGTGCTTACAGCAAAAAGGAAAGCTAGTCATGAAGCTCATTTTGCTAGAATTTGGGACTATCAAGAAGAGATAATTCAATCAAATCAGGGATCAACTATGGAGATTGAGACAATACCTGGTCCGATTCCTGGAAGCAAGCAGAGGTTCCACCGTCTCTATGTTTGTTTTGAAGCCTTAAAATCAGCTTGGAAGCAATCATGTAGACCCATTATTGGATTAGATGCTGCATTCATGAAATGGGATATCAAAGGCCAAATGTTAGCTGCAGTTAGTAGAGATGGCGATAATAGGATATTTCCTATTGCTTGGGCAGTAGTTGATGTTGAAGATAATTCAAATTGGTTGTGGTTTGTGCAACTACTGAAAAGCGACTTGGGACTTGAAGATGGAGCTGACATTACAATCATTTCAGACAAACATAGCGTGAGTTTAAGTTTGTATTATTAGAGTGAGACTTATTTTGTTTTCTTTACATGTGTGAGTCTTACTTTGTTTGCTTCACATGACAGGGCATATTATTTGCAGTTCAAGTTGAGCTTCAAAGGGCTGAACATCGAATGTGTGCCAGACACATTCTGCAAAACTGGAAGAAAACAAACAAAGATATAGAGCTTGAACGTTTGTTTTGGAAAATAGCAAGGAGTTATTCACCAGCCGCATTTGGAGATAACTTAGAAGAACTGAAGAAATACAATCAAGGTGCGTATGATTCCCTGCAATGTACCGCACCAACAACATGGTCTCGGGCATTCTTCAAGCTTGGATCCTATTGCAATGATAATCTGAACAACCTGTCAGAATCATTCAACAGAAATGTTAAGGAGTCAAGGAAGAAACCGCTTCTTGATTTTTTAACAGAGGTAAGGAGAAAATGCATGGAGAGAAACGCAAGGCGGACTATTCTAACCAACAGGTGGAAGAAAAGGTTCACACCAAGAGCAGACAGAGAGATTGAACTGAATAGGCAGAAAGCTCGAGATTGTAAAAGATGGATGACCACAGGGAATTTGCATGAGATAGACTTTCATGGTTGTGCTTATAGCGTCAATATGGAAGAGATAACATGTGGTTGTGGCTATTGGCAGCTGAATGGGATACCGTGTATGCATGCTATGTGTGTCATCACAACAACACGGTTAGATCTTAACGACTATGTTTCTGATTACTACTTGACTTCAAAGTGGCGCCAACTGTATGCTACTGGTATGAAGCCAGTACAAGGAATGAAAATGTGGCGACGGTTAGGTCGGATACCAGTGTTGCCACCACCTTTAAAATTTAACCATGGGAGACGCAATAGTTATGCTAGGAGAAAAAGTCCTCATGAGTCTTCTTCTAACCCAAACAAGCTTACACGGCATGGTCGTGTGGGAACATGCTCAAATTGTAAAAAAGAAGGTCATAATAAGACAAGATGTCCTAATCCAACAACAGCTCCTGAACCAAAACGTCGAAGAGGTTGCCCAAGAAAAGATCAGGTTTGAAGTCACCTCTCTTCTTGCTTGCTTGATATGTGGTTTGGGGTTTGTGGTTTGTTATTTGTGATTTGCGATTTGATGGATAATTGTTTGATTTGTGTTCTGTTATTTGTGATTTGGTGGATATTTGTTTGATATATGATCTGTGATTTGCGATTTGGTGGATAATTGTATGAATTGTGTTCTGTGTTTTGCGATTTGGTGGATATAACTGTTTCATTGGTGTTATGTGATTTGCGGTTTTTTAGGGAGAGCCATCCCAAACAGGAGCTTCTCAAGGACCTTCTCAAGCCGGATCATCACAAGCAAGATGTTCTCAATCAGCACAAGAAGGATTCGATTTCTCTTGTTAATCAAATTTGCTTTTGAAATTTGTGTTTTATGTAGTTTCAACTTGTCATAGACATGTATCAGCTGATTTTTTTGCTGATTTTAATGGCTCTAAAGCTTGTTTGCTTTAAGCTTTTTGGCAATCCTATTTACAGAATTTTAAAGCTTGTTTTAGTCTAATAACATGTCTAAATTCATCACCAAAGTACCACAACAAAAGTGTACATGTCTCAAATTCATGAGAACAACAACCATTCCAGCTTCAAACAACAATTTTTACCTTAACTAATAATCTCTTACATTGTCATAAAAAACTCATACATTATCTTACATTGTCTTAATCATATATCATCTCTTACATCGATCTTCTCATCATCTAATAAACTAGAATCAGTTATGAAATACAAGAGTGTTTCTTTCTCCTTGCTGAAACAAGATGTGGTAGATGATCACAACAGCCAAAACACACAAGCAAACAACAAGCGCCAAGTTCTTGGTTTTGAATTTGCTTAGCTCCTTCTTGCATTTGAGGACCTCTTCTTTCACATTTTCGATATCAACTTTGAGCTCTTTTACAATGATTCCATCAACCTTTAACTCATTCACTTCTTCATACATCCCATCTTCCACCCATTTGAACAAATGACCTTTCTAAGAAAAAGAAACAAGAGGCAGATTTACTATCATCACAAACAAGAGACAGATTTAATGAAGATGAATGAATTAGAATTTACTATCATCACAAACAAGAGACAGATTTAATGCAGAGGAATGAATTAAAATTTACCTGTCGAGAAGCACAACAACGAAAGTAAGGACGCCCAGGATTGTCTTTCGACTGTGATGTATAGATCCTAACATCACTTCCACAAACACATTTTTTGGGAAATCCTTTTACTTCATTCAAGAACTCACAACTAGAGGAATTACCAGATTCATTTCCATAGTTGGACTTTATCTCCTCCTACGATTAACTGATTTCAATTCTACCATTCCATCCATTTATATAATCCATCAATCGATGCTAACTAGAACAGAATAAAAAGTAACCACTTACAGATTTAGTAACAGAGGAGATTCGTTCTGACTCTAGACAAATATTCTTGTTCTTTCTAATGTTCGTCATCGATCACTGTCGTCGGATGTCGATAGCTCACGCTTTCACGCCGTAAATTGAAGCTCTTGTCGGAAATCGCTTGCTCACGCCGGAAATCGAAGCTCTTGTCGGAAATCGCTTGCTCACGCCGGAAATCGAAGCTCTTGTCGAAAATCGCTTGCTCACGTTGGAAATCGCTTTAGGGTACAGATTTGGGAATTGCAGTGTTTATAATGAAATCGCGTTTCCTCTTTTTATTAATCTTAACGATTCCCGTTATATTTTTAACTGCTGACTTTTTTAATCTTAATTTTGCCTAATCAACTTAAACATGAGGAATTAATCTGCACAATGCATATTTGGGGAATAAAAATACCGATTGCAAATACATTGAGAATTAAATGAGCAATTTCCCTTCATATTTGTTACTTTTTCTTCCCAACCATTGCTTACTAGAAATTTTCATTACTCTCAGAAAACCCAAAGCCCATTTGATAGCCTAATAAAACAAAATTAAGCCCAATACGGCCTAATGTCTTATTTCGGAGTTTCTCTGTTTATTTCTTTCTTACCTACGCCTCTGATTGATTTCAAGTCTCTCCTCTAACCTCTCTCGAATGTTTTCTTTCTCTATCGTACTCCCTGAGCTTCTTCGAGTTTTGATGAAGATGAATCGGTTCTGTGATTCTTGATCTATGTTGGTCAATCGGTTTCGCGTGTTCTAGTCACTGATCTGTATCGAATTCGAGCCTGAGGGTCTCTCCAATGGAGTTTGAGACTCACGAAGACGCGTACCTGTTTTACAAAGACTATGCGAAATCCGTAGGTTTCGGAACTGCGAAACTGAGCAGCCGAAGATCAAGAGCTTCAAAGGAATTCATCGACGCCAAATTCTCCTGCATACGCTACGGAAGCAAGCAACAGTCCGATGATGCGATTAACCCTAGAGCTTCCCCTAAGATCGGCTGCAAGGCGAGTATGCACGTGAAGCGAAGACCAGATGGGAAATGGTACGTTTACAGTTTCGTCAAAGAGCACAATCACGAGCTTTTACCTGAGCAAGCCCATTTTTTCCGGAGCCATAGAAACACGGAGCCTCCGAGTACCGACGCTCGTCTCAGGCGGAAGAAGAACAATCCATTGGCTGCTTGTAAACATCTCAGTGCCTATCACGACCTCGGTTTCTTAGATGGTTACATGAGGAATCAGCACGATAAAGGACGCCGCTTAGTTATTGACTCTAACGATGCTCAAATCCTTCTCGAATTTCTCACGCGTATGCAGGAAGAGAATCCCAAATTCTTTTACGCGGTTGATTTCAGCGAAGATCATCTTCTGAGGAACGTGTTCTGGGTCGATTCAAAAGGGATCGAAGATTACAAAAGCTTCAGCGACGTGGTTTCTTTCGATACAACTTATTTCGTGAGTAAATATAAGACACCGCTTGTTCTTTTCGTTGGAGTCAACCATCATGTACAGCCTCTGCTGCTTGGATGTGCGTTGATCGCAGATGAAACAGTCTACACTCACGTCTGGCTGATGCAGACTTGGTTAGTGGCAATGGGTGGTTCAGCGCCGAGAGTTATGCTCACCGACCAAAACAATGCGATCAAAGCAGCCGTCGCTGCGGTCTTGCCGGAAACTCGCCATTGTTACTGCTTGTGGCATGTGTTAGACCGGCTCCCTGGGAATCTGGACTATTGGAACATGTGGCAAGATACTTTCATGAAGAAGCTGCTAAAATGTATATACAGGTCATGGTCTGGGGAGGAGTTTGATAAGAGGTGGTTAAAATTGATTGACAAGTTTCAGCTTAGAGATGTGCAGTGGATGCGTTCTCTGTATGATGAACGTAACTTCTGGGCGCCTACCTTCATGAGAGGGGTCACATTTGCTGGTTTATCAACGCGTTATCGTTCAGAAAGCGTGAACTCTGTGTTTGATAGGTACGTTCAGGCTGAAACTTCGCTCAAAGAGTTCTTAGAAGGATATGGGCTGATGCTAGAAGATAGGTATGAAGAGGAAGCCAAAGCAGAGTTCGACGCTTGGCATGAAGCACCTGAGTTGAAATCTCCATCGCCTTTTGAGAAGCAGATGCTGCTTGTGTACACTCATGAGATATTCAGGAAGTTCCAAGTCGAGGTTCTGGGTGCTGCTGCTTGTCACCTTACGAAGGAGAGCGAGGAAGGAACGACTTACAGTGTCAAGGACTTTGAAGACGATCAGAATTATTTGGTGGATTGGGATGAATCCAAGTCTGATATTTACTGCTCTTGCCGTTCGTTTGAGTACAAGGGGTATCTCTGTAGACACGCCGTTGTTGTTCTCCAAATGTCGGGGGTTTTCACCATTCCGGTAAACTTTGTGTTGCAAAGATGGACGAATGCAGCTAGAAACAGACATCAGATCAGCGGAAACCTTGAGCTCGTGCAGTCTAACATCCGTCGTTTCAATGATCTCTGCCGGCGAGCCATTATATTAGGAGAGGAAGGATCTCTTTCCCAAGAAAGCTATGACGTCGCAATGTTTGCGATGAAAGAAGCTTTTAAACATTGTGCTGTTAAGATTAACACCGTTGAATATCCGGCGAGGTGTGAAGAAGCTGCTATTCAACCGGGAGATCCTGTCCAAGAAGAAAATCAATACGGATCCACATCGAAGCAGGTCGGATCCGAACCTAACGTACATGAAGGCAGTGCTTCAGGGCAAGCTGAAACCAGAAGGGAGAAGAGAAGGAGCATAAACAATACATCTAAAAAAGCAAAGGTCTGTTAGCTTCTTCTTTTTTCTTTCCTGTATGTTGTCAGAATCATCTATTAATTTTTAATAGACTATGAAATCATACACGGCCATGAACAAGAATTTCGCTGAGCAGTCTTGTTGTGACACCCTGGTGATGGTAGTATGTGTAACTTGGTTCATGGTTGGGCTTCATTCGATTGATCTTTTCTTCATTGGTGCAGCAGGTGACTCAATCTGGGATTGTTGGTGAGGGAAGCCAAGAAGGATTTCAACACGTGGTACATTCTAATTTCATATCTCCATCGCAAATGCAAACAACTCGGTGACATTCTAATGAACTTGATGACTAATTCAATGATCGTTTACCACTGCAGGCTGCTCCGAGTCCGTTGCAGGCTGCAGGGCAATTTCACAACACGATGCCTGGAGTGTTCCAAAACGTAATCCCCATGGAGTTCCACAACATTCCGCCTACAGATATGAATCAGAACAATCCCTCTGGGTAGAGGTTGGACAGAACACAGCCGACAAACTTGATAGCTTCCTTGTTCAAACCACTTCATCTACGGTTCCATTGTTCTTAGGTTAAGTTGATAGAGTAGTAAATGGTGTATCTGTTGATAAACTATTACGGGAACAGGCATCTGTATGAAAGCTAATGAATTGTCATGCTTGGAAAATGTCAAAATGCAAGCAGTTGAAGAAATGGAAGCATTTTAATTTTTTTGGCTTGCACCATGACAGCACTGGCCAGTAGTCAATTGAAGCTTTTAATATTTTTGGTTCCATCGACTGATGATCATACATTAACAGAGACTCCCTACTAATTTTATTGAGCCTCTGTTACATAACAATAGTCAATGAATCTCGAAGGAATCTTCAAACAAAATAATATTTGCTCAAATATTTTATGTAAATTTGTTTGGCTTCTACTAATCTTCAGTGAAACATTGCAGCCATACTAAACTAAGAAAGCCGTGCCTGTGTATACATTCGTTTTGCTAATTTTAATCATGAAGAGAGTATATATAGTACTTAGAAAACAGCAAATCAAGGGTGTAATATGTGGATCTTTTTATGACCATCTTTACATTTTCAAAAAGAATTCTAGTACTATGTGCCTCTTTTTACATTTACCTGATATGTCCATTTTAGTATATGGTTATCGTTGTAGCATTGAACTTGCTTTGTGACTATGCCATATAATTACTGTTTCTGAGGTCATGTTTATGGTTTATGCAAAATGATTTGCCTAAAATGCTAGCTAGGATTATTGAATGCAACCACACTTTGAAGAAAAAAAATAAAAAAATGGATGTACAACTCAGCTCGTGTTATCAGAGACCTTTCACAAGACTTACAACTGTTTTGTTACAGATTCCTGTTTTACATCTCTCAAAAATCTAAATCGTAATGTTCATCTCTCCATCATCTACTTTCATTTGTTTTTATGCTTCTAAGTGTTTGTATCTCACTCGATGCTTACTGAAGACAATTTGGTGATTAATTTTGTACGAAAATGGAACTTTCCAATAAAAAAACTTGTTGATATTAAAAAAGAACATGATTCGTCAAAATCATGACCCTTGGTGATTGATTTTGTTGGTTGACATAATTATTCAAAACGTATAAAGTGAATGGACTAAAATACTTATATATCAATTAGGACCAAAAATCTAGTATATATATATATATATATATATATATATATCAGTTTACATTTGCTAATTTGCTAGTTTTGATATAAAAAAAAACACATATGAGATCCCTTCAATGGACCACATCCTTTGTTAATGTTTAATAAGTATATATCAATTAGGACCAAAAGTCTATGTACATTTTAATATAAACAAAAAAAAACATCGCACTTGAAGACAGACTTGAAATCTGTTGATAATATAACTATTGTCTTCGAGTTATAATACAACGAGGTCAATATGTCCGAGTGGTTAAGGAGACAGACTTGAAATCTGTTGGGCTTCGCCCGCGCAGGTTCGAACCCTGCTGTTGACGAACTTTTATTTATTTTATTCTTAGGTTTAAAAACTCGATAACTTCTTACATAATTTTGAAAAAAACGGTACTCGTTTTTAATTAACCTGCCGCCCCCTTGCCGTGACATTCTGAAACGCAATTTTTGTTTTTTAAAAACTTTTCGAATTTTTTAACTGAGAACAGTTCTCAACATTAACAGGACGAATAAGAATGTTGTAACTCAGGTTGAAATCCGAATCAGATCCCAAGAAAAAACCGAATAAATGTATACAAACAATCATCACCTTGTCAATTACAGCAAAATCTTAGTATTGAATCACAGAAAAAAAATGTAAACAAGAAAACGATATTATTCCACTACTGGATCAGGTTCGTCTCACTCAACAACGAATAACTTAGTACTCTTACCTCCTAGTTACAAAAAGAATTGCATAACCACTAACTACAATATAGTTTCTTTACGCGAAACAATAAATCGTATCGGTACCGAAGAAACTCACCGTCTTAGCAAATCGTTAGAAGAGATGGGATATGATCATAAATTCTCTTCTGATTTCGGAGCCTCCTTTATTACGATTCTGTCACTCTCCTGCATCTCTAGCAGTTTCTCTTGTTCCTCGTCTTGCTCTCGCGGTTCAGCTTCTTGTGCAGCACTCGGTTTCTTGATGGTAGACTGCTGATACATGACTCCACCAAACATACAAATCAAGAGCCCCAAGGTTCCAACAAACGTCGAGTGCTTATCCCACACCATCAAGTTGATCACGACCGTCAACAGCTTGTTCACGATCCCAAGAACAGTGAACCCCGTCGCGGAAATGGCTCGGCGGCAAGAGAACCCGAAGAAAGAGATGGCCAAGCCGAACAGGCACGACAAACCCACGGGTAAAAGCACTTGAAACGAGTACCAATCAGACTCGTCGGTGATCTCATGCTTGATCTTCTTTAGCTCTCCCATTATAAGCAGCTCAAGCGGAAACAAAAGCAGAGCCTCGAGGTTATTGTAGAGAACAAGACCCCATGTGTTCAAACCAATCGTCATCACCACATGCTTGATGTAGACGAAGTCAATAGTCATGCTCACGAGATACGCAAGAGCCCAGCTATACGCCGCGATCGTAAACTGATAATCCGTGAGAACGTAAAGGAAGCTTCCTCCGAATATGGTAGCAAGAGACCCCCACGTCTTCACAGATGGCCATGGCTGGTGCAAGAAGAGCGTTTCCCCAATCGCAACGAAAATGGGAACAGCAGAGCGGAAAACGATGAAAGTGTCGACATTGGCGTGGAGGAGAAGCTCGCTGTTGGTGAAGAGAGACAAGTAGAATATCATCGCTGCGGGAAGAAACCTCCACATGGTTAAGAGATTCAGAGAATCGTGCTCGATTAGCTTCACCTGAGCACAGAAGAAAACACCAGCGGCGCTTGTGAAGTACTGCATAGCGGTTAACGCGCCAGGGTAAGGGAACTTCATGATCGCCCATTTGTTGATGATGGAGAGAAGAGAAGCTGAGATGCAGTACCCTGCAGCTACACCATAGACGGAGGCTTGACGAAGCAGTAAACTAGACCATGTCTCTTGGGTGGGTTCTCGAACTTTCTGAGCTTCGATTGAAGTTCCATTTTCCTCATCGTTCGGCATCTCGAATGAATCAGAGAAGATGAGAAAAATGAATCTGATGTCGGTGGATCCTAAGATTCACACTCAGTTACTCATAGCTTCGACTTAAAAACTCGAAATTGCTTCAGAATTAGAGCCGGTGCAAGCTCTGCGACTGCACAAGAACGCCGAGATTAGGGTTTCGAGGTCGCAACAAGGATCAAATCGACGCAACAAGTATATCCCGAATGATTACGAATTAGATCTCGGCAAATCTCTATCAATAGAGGATTTAGGTTTATGAATCTCTCTACTTTGAGATCGACACAATTGCCTAACAGGAAATTCGAAGAAGCTTGGTTACCTCTTTGGGCTCTTTGGGATTGAGAGAGAGACTCAGAGAACGCGTCGCAGAGTGAGGAAGAACCAACAACAGTCGGCGAAGCTCTTAAGAAAAAAAATAAAAATTCCACCGTGAAGCTATTTAGGGTTAAGCATACAATAAGCTTTGTGTATAATAACCAAAAGCCAGTTTTAACGAGTTTTGTTACTTTTGTATATGTATTTCAAAATTATAAAATTCCATTAGTCGATCCAAGAAATTGAACCGATCTGTATATTTTACAATTAGTTAGAAGGAACTTTCGTAAATTTTGGTTAAAATGATGTTGTTGAAAGCTGTTTATTCTTCAAACTGAAGGATCGCTTAACACTTTTGAATCGTTTATACTGTAGTACCGAAACTTATCATCTACTAAAACATATACTTATGAATCCTAAATCAAAGTTACATGCATACCAAAATAAAAAGACTAATCATTTTCAAATGCGATAGCTTCAATTTTCACATCCCACTCTTGCCACTTCAACAGAATTCTTTGATAAATGCAAATAAGTAGTTATTCAAAGCTTAAAGCAAGGACTCATAATATCGTATACTTTCACTTCATTTTACATTCACGCCACTAGAATTTTGAACAGTTACATAATTTTCGATTGTTAAGATATAATTCTTTGATTTACAAACTCTAAAACTTGTACTCGTTTGCAAACTTGGACTTCTTTGATTTACAAATGTATCAACTAGTCTAATTTTATAAAATATCATGCACATGGACGATGAGGTTACTAAACTAGCTGGACTGAAATCTTAACAACGCTCAAAACAACCAGAGTCACGTGTCACCCGAGATCCAAAGCATCTGAATCTATTACTGGTCTTAGGTCAGCGACTTTATCATATAGTTGTCGTTTCTTTATTATTTGATCTCTGATTCATAAATTAATAAGAGAATATTGTCACTTCTTTATCATTTTACATCATAGTCTCTTGGCCGGAAACTAGCTAACCGTCTCAACGTGACGCTGAACATCTGAAGGTGATTAGGAGGAAAGCATGAAAAACTCCTCTGATTGATCGACATTATTGTTTGGTGGTTTATACTTAAACATCTTTAATTAAAAGTTTTACATTCTTGGTTGCTCCTACGTGTTGTTGTTGTCTGTATTTGTAATAGGCTCTTATCTTATATCTTGTATTTGTAAGCCCTGCACAATAAGCTAGTGTTTAATAATTAATACTGTAATGTGTAATATAAAATTCGCTTACAAGTCCAATGATAAGCTTTGGGTGTAGTTTACAAAATCTTGGATCCGTGTTTGGGAAAGTTCAACTTCATGATGGATTATTTAAGTTGGCTTGCCTTTGATTACATATGAAGAAAAACTTTATAGGGTGTATCATGTATGTGTGTATACAGTGTATTATACACACATTATTACATTAATATGAGTTCTTGTAATCCAACTGAAACTATGGGGTGCTACTCTGATTTCCGGTTCAATATTTATTAATATATAAACCGAATAGATTTCAATTTTTTTTTTCATTGTGGTTTGTGTCAGTTTCGGTTTGGATTTGATTAACCATATGGGTTACCTACCACTGTTGTCAGCTAATGTATTTGTGTGTGACGATTGACAAGACAGCAAAA